GGGGTGTTGGAAGTGTTTTCAGGATGGTAACCAGTCTCCTTTCTTTTCTTTCCCCTCCCCTCCTGGAAGGTTTAGTTTCTTCTCTCGCGACAAGAAACGTTTGCAGGCGTCGCAGAAAAATGTCCACTTCCAGGGGACTTTTGGAGAATGGTCAAATTCAAGTAGGGATGACTCCTACATGGAACAAGGCCAGGAAGCCCTGCAGCACCTGTGACTGAAGCCCTGAGGTGTCCTGTTTGCTGCAGTAGATCCGACAGTCGTGACAAGAAGCTCCTGTAAAGCACCGCGGCAGCTCGTCACTGGTTTTGCCTCGCACACCTCGGGGTTGTTCCAGACCCTCCCAAAGGGATCCCTCACTGTTCACTTGGGGACTGTTTGCTGCAAACAGAGCCCAAGCTTTGTAGTAACAGTTGCTGCCACCCTGGGACGTGGAAGCTTCTAGATGACTTGTTTTGTGCTGAATAACAAGTCCACGGTCTTGTTCTTGCATTAACTACAGTAACACAAGCTTCTTTAAACCAAAAAAGGACCCGTGCCATTATTAGAAGTTTGTTTGCAGTGTACAGCATCTAGTACAGGGCAAAGACTCTTCCACCCTGTTTGTTAACACTATTGGTTGTTTGCTTTTTATTTCTGTGAGAATTTTTTCAAGAGGGACACGACAGCTGGACACCCTCTGTGGCAGCCCAGAGCTCTGCTGTGTCCTGTCAGTGCCGCTGGCATCGGCATCCTGCGGAGGAACCCCCTGGAAACCCACCTGGCACAGTGAGAAACTGGAGTAGCCTTGAGAGGGACAGTGAGTGTACATTTCCCTTGTGCTTATAGTGCCTAAAGCATGAAGAACCCCTGTATGAGGTGAGCGTGCCTTGTGTTTTGCCATGAGTTCTGCAGTATTAATGGAATACAAATTGCTTACAGGGAGGAATCCTAACTCTTGGATTTTTTTCCTTCTTACTGGGGGCTTCCCCCCAGAGTAGCAGGCAGCTGCTGGAAAGGAATTAGAGCTTTCCCACAGAGAGGTTTTTAATTAAGTCACACTCCATTTTCCTGTCTAGGTAAAACTGCCCAACTTGAGAGGGACACACGTCCTCAGCTGGCTGACAAGAGCTGTTAAACTGACCTAGAGATGGCCCCAACTGCAAACTAAACACTAAACACTCTGTGGGAGCAGAGGAATGAATTCTGTGTGCAGGCTGCTCCCCTGGTGTTGGCTCATGTCTGGGCAGCCCGTGTTACTGGGCTTAACTTGCCAGCCCAGCCCAACTGCCGGGGGCTGGGATTTAATCTGCTCTGCAGTCGGATTGTGAGAGCCCAGGACTGACCGAGGTCAGACTTACAACACTAAAACCCCACAGAGCATAACTGTTGTGTCCAGCCCATGTCAGAGCATCCCCCCTGCACCACACACTCCACAGGCACTCCCCCAGGTGGGAGAGGCCGAGGACAGGGCTGAGGGGTCTCTGTGTTCTGGAGGGTCTGTGCTGGGGCACCACTGCTGCTGAGGAGCATCTGGTGGTGGCAGGGCCAGGGGCAGCTCCTGCTCGTGCAGCTCAGTGCCAGGGGCTGGAGCTCTTGGTACCACACCCCCAGCAGCTCCACCTGCTCTGTAAAGAGCCTCCTCTCAGGAGTGGCACCAAGGATAGGAAATACTGCTCAGGCTGGAGTAAAGCTCCAACTGCTCCAGGTACTGAGTGCAGGAGGAACTGTTGAAGGACTCCTAGATGGGTTTAGTGCAGGCCAGTTGTTTTTATTACAGGGTGATCCAAGACTGGATTCTTTGATGTGTGTGAGCACAGCAAATGGTTCTCAGCCTGTCTGTAGTGAAAGCCTGACAGGGAACTGTTCCCTCTGTGCTGCTCTGTGCTGCTCTGCTCCTGGCTGCAACTGCTTCATTCCAAACACAAATCTTCCATATGTTCTAGGTAGGGAAAGTGTTTACTGTGCCCCCCTGGTGCTCCTGCAGCTCGGGGCAGGGGGGACATGTGGCCTTACATGAGACACCTGCATTAGACACAGTGACGGCAGCGGCCAACGCGGGAATTGGGCTGATGAGCTTTTGCCCGGTTGTGTTTTGGTAACACCTGTGAAACAGCAGCACCTCCCCCACTGAGTGAAAAGCAATCCTTAAATGGGGGGAGTGTCTTAATTTAATGAGACTTAAGTTGCCAAGATCTGGATTCACTTCCAGATATGAGAAAACCAGAAGTTGTCCAGGTCCATCCAGCTGTTGAATTGTGAGTGACCCCGTGGAGTCTCTGTTGGGCGCAGTCCAGTCGTGTGGCACATCCAGAAGGGATGCAGTGAGCAGAAACAATGCCAGAGTAAGCACATCCCTTTGGAAATGAGCTGAGAGCAATGAGCTGGGATAATGGAACTGCACAGACCGAGCCTAAGCCTGTGCTCCTGGTGCAGTAAAGCCCGGCCCAGAGCCCGGGGCACCACTGTCAGGCCAGATCTGCAGCAACATCAAAGCACAGCACTAAGCAGGACAAGCTTCCCCCACTCATCTCTGTAGCCCATTACCTCAAAAACCTCATTAGTTCCTCCTGACCTGCTGCCATTAACCACTCGTTGTCATGTTGGAAGTGCTGAGTTCACAAGTGCCATCGGGAAGGATGGCCCAGAGGGAAGCATTTGTAAAGATTTTAGATCTGTCATGTGTTGGTTCTTTGTATTCAAGGAACATCTGCTTTTAGAAAAGGGGCCAGGATGGTGGCAGGTGAGGGGTGTCACAGTCCTGCCTGCCAAGTGCAGGATCAGACATTTTATGGGTTGGTTTATTTTATTTTTTTTTTTGGTTGGACAGTAAATCATTTTAACAGTTTAATAAATATTTCTGAAAAACACGTATTTCTGCAACAGTTGTGTCCTTTTTTTTCCTGTGGAAAGTTAATACCATCCCTTCTTGGGGATGCAGCCTGTGGATCTGTCTGTGTACAGCTCTTCATGGAAATACAGTGTCAAGCTCAGCAAGGTTTAGGACAGGGCCATTCAAAGCCTTGCAAAATATAGTTTAAAATATGTTACCTATCTGGCTTATGATGACAAAGAACATGACAGAGCCCTTTCTAAAAAGCACTGTAAGCTCCCCAACAGGAGATGTGTGTCTGTACATACATATCCTGGCTCTGAAAAAGGTGCTTGGCCTCTGTTTTCCCCAAATCAGCAGCAAACCCACTTTCCAGAATGGATTTAAACCCTGTGCAGGCAGGACTTCACTGGCAGAGAGGAGAGAACAGAGTGGGTGCAGCTGCAACATTTACCCATGACACCATCCCTCAGTGAACATCCATGGATTCATCAGGAACATGAGGCATTTTCTGACCTGTTTACTGCTCTGTGGTGCACATTCCTCGTGTACAAAGGAGTCACATCCTCCCGTGACACACAAAATGGATTGGTCACATGCTTCTCTCTCACCTGGCAGAACTAGTTAAGGATACCGCATCACTAAAAGTCCTGCCTGTCCCAGTATCTTCAAGAAAATGAAGTCACGTTCCATCAGCTTCTGTTTTGGGGCCCATTTTTCAGAAGCTTTAGTTTGTTGCTATTCTATTCCTGTATTTCCAATAAGTGAGTGTTTCATGGTCACCTATCTGTACTTATCATCATCTCTTTGCTTCTTGGGCTCTCTCTCCCTGCTCCGGTCTCTATCCCTGTCCTTCCTGTCTCTGTCCTTCCTGTCCCTCCCTCTGCTCCGCTCCTCTCTGGAGTCCCTCTCCCTCTCACTGTCACCCCAAGCCCACGACCGCTCCCTTTCTCCCCAGCGCTTGTCTCTGCTCCTCTCCTGGTCCCGGTCCCTCGTTCTCCAGTCCCTCGTTCCCTCACGAGACCAGTTTCTTTTCTCCGATGATCCTTCTCCATAGAAATCATTTTTCACGTTCGGCAAATTGATGGGCTTTCGGAAAGGTCTGTCCCGTCCTCCAAACCGCAGCTGCCCGGATTCTTTTTTGCCTCCAAAGCCACCTCCGAGCCTCCGGGGAATCCATCCTTTGAGAGTCCTTTCCAGCTCAAAGTCTACAAAGATCTCGTGCTGGTCGATGACCAGCCTGTTGGCGTCTCTGTGGGCCTTCAGGACTGCGCGCTCCTCCTTGTACTCAATGAAGGCATAACCCTTGGAGAATCCCGTGACCAGGTCCCGAACCAGACGGATCTTCCTGATGTCTCCATACCGGGAAAAGACCTCCTTTAACTTCTCCTCTGTGGTCTGAAGGTTGAGCCTCGCCACAAAGAGGGTGAGGTGAGGGTCTCCCGTGACTCCCTTGTTGGGCACGTACCGTGCCAGCATCGCCCGCCAGATGGCCCGGTCGTGGGGCTCCTCATCCGTGCCGTCGATGCTGCCGGCCTTGAGCGGGTCGTACTCCTTCGCTATGGGGGCCCAGTCAGCCATGGCCTGCGGGGGGAAACACAGGTCGCACAGGCTCACAGGAGCAGGCACAGGCTGTGCGAGGAGCGCTCCCAGCCCCGATGTACTGTGCCTTCATTCAAAAATCCCCCAAAGTGAGATAAACGTAAATAAAGCAGCCGCGTGGCTGTTGTCTGAGTTCCCCTCCCGGGGCAGGGCCGTGCCGGGAGCCGGAGCCGTCCCCGGGCCGCAGGAAGCCCGCGGGCCTGGCCCGGCCCGTTCCCCGCCCGAGGAGGTCCCTCAGACCCGTTCCCGCCGCCGCCTCTCCCCTCCCCTCCTGTCCCGGTTCTTCGGGCCGGGGCAGCCGCGGCCGCTCCCGCCGGGCTCCATTTCAGCCCCTTTCCCCGCTCCCGCCCGGCCGGAGCCCTCCCGTCCCCCCGGCCCAGCCCCGCTCCCGGAGGGCGCTGCGGAACCGGTTCGGTGCCGGCTCCCGGGGCTGACCGAGGGCCCCCCGTCCCTTACCGGCAGCGGCGGGCGGGCGGTGCCTCCTCAGGGGAAGGGGCAGGGCGGGAAGCGCGGCCGGGCCGCGGCCACGGGCCCGCCGGCGGCAGGAGGGGCCGCTCCGCCCGCGCCAGCGCCGCCCGGGCCGGCGGGAGGGAGGGAGCGGCGGGAATGCAGCGGGGCCGGCAGGAGGAGGAGGAGGAGCTGGACGACGAGGAGGAGGAGGAGGATGGGGATGGCGGCCCGGAGAGCGCCCTGGAGAAGAGCCCGTTCCAGCTGACGGCCGCCGATGTGTACGACATCTCGGCCGTGGTGGGCCGGGACCTGCTGCAGCTCCGCGCCGGGCCCGAGCTCCCCGCCGCCCGCGCGCGGCTGCAGTTCAGGATCGTGCGGGTGCTGGAGATGCTGGAGGCGCTGGTGAGCGAGAGCAGCGTGGCCGAGGAGCAGCTGCGGCGGGAGCGGGACAGTCTGCGGCGGGAGCTGGAGCAGCTGCGAGCGGCGGCGGCCCCAGGCAGCGCCCCGCAGGTGGGTGCGGGACAGGCCGGGGCACAGGGACACGGGCCGGACGCGTGCGGGTCGTGGAGCCCACTTCGAGCAACACCAGAGGGGCCGGAGGATACTCGTGGTCTCTTTTGTCGCAGCAGAACGAGTCTCACAATGTCAATTCCCGTCTTTGGCCATGAAGCCTTGGAGCTCTTCCCGTGGGGTGTTACAGGTCACAGTGCTGTGGATCCCCCGCTCCCGTTTCACTGCTTTATCTCAGCAACGTGCGGTGCCAGCAGAGTTGTTCAGGCGCTCACAGAGTTCACCGAGTACAAACCCACCGCGTTCAGTTCTCACACAGCACCGGCCCCACACGAGACAACTTGCCATTCAAGCAAACGCTGGAGCTTTGTTACTCTGTGCAAGAGAAACTGTGACCAAAAAAAGCCATTACCACAAAGGTCTTAAATTAGGAAAGGAGAATTCAGTTCTCCCCTATCTCTGCCACAGATGTGATGTTAGATTGCTTGGCCTCTCCCACCATCAGAAAAGCTGATAAAAGCAGCTTCTTGGCAAACTAAATTGCAAACACTTTGGGACAGAGACGTTGCTTTTAGCTGTGGTCAGAGCCTGTCACAGTTGGGCCTGGAAATGCAGTCACCAAGGGAATACAAAAGTAATATGAAGAACTATAATTAACTGCTTGGGGAAAAAATCAGGACTGTGATCAACTTGTACTAGTCCTACAAATTACTCCATGGTTTTGAGAGGTTACAAGATCATGACCAGCACTGTTTCTTTTCCAGGTCAGCCTTGGACCAGATAAAATGGTGATCGACCTCACAGATCCCAACCGGCCACGGTTCACATTGCAGGAGCTCAGAGATGTGTTGCAAGAGAGAAACCAGCTGAAAGCTCAGCTTCTGGTGGTGCAAGAGGAGCTACAGTGCTATAAGAGGTACAGCATGAAGGCACCAAAGAACTAATTACTAATAACAATTAATTACTTCTTGTATGGGGAGCTTTTCAGATGAGAGCATGGCAGGCTTGGGCCAGGCACTGCCCAGGCGTGTAAGAGACACCTGTGCTCCTGAAAGCATTCAAAGAAAAACAGGGGAACAATGAAGTCTCTATGCAACATAATTTTAAAACTAAACTCCCTTTTGCTCTGCACAGTTCTCAGCCTGTTCCCAGAGTTGTCCCCTACTCACAGTTACTCCCACTCCCCATCCAGTGGGTTCCTGTGCACAGGAATCCATCTGTGCAGTCACAGCAGTTGCACACACCCTGTGTCCAAAGCCACACCACACACTGAAGAGCACGGGGGTTTCCAGCTCAGCTTGAGTCAAAGTTTCCTTCCTCCTGCAGTGTGGGGACACTGCCTTATCTCTGGTCCCGTGCTCCCATGGGGGTATGGACTGCTCTAGGGACAGAATATTGAGCTATTTCATCATTCAAGAGAAGCTGTGGGGGTTTAGGACTGCCAACAGAGGGTTGTGTAAGGCACTTGAACTGTGCAGAACAAGTGCTTTGAGAGGAGGGTTTGGTCTTTCTCAGAGGGACCAGCCTGGGAGAACCGGTGTGAGCCAGAGCATGGGATGAGGAAGGGTCTTGCTCTTGGTGCTACAAATTCATTCACACCCAAGGCTGCTCTCCTCAACCCTTGCCCTTCCTCAGATTAGGTTATAAACTGTTTGAAGAAAGAAACTACTTCTTAATCTAGACACAAAATAAGCAAATCAGATTTCAGTTGAGGTATCTCAGCAACAGCCTCCTGGATACAGTGAGCCTGCCTTTTGTCTTGTCTGTAACAGGCAGGTTAAGCCAAGAAGTTAAAAGTTAAATCCAAGAATTTACAAACTGCCTGACAGCACTTCCCCAGCTCATCTGGATGCTTTGCTGTGCAGCCAGTGAAATGGCTTCTTGCTTTGATTTCCCAGCTGTTACACAGCTTAGTACAGGCCAAGTTAAAAATTAACAGTGGGAATGTTTTCAGGTTTTGAGTGATTTCAGTCACAGTGCTGTGCACTGAGTGTGTCAGGGCTGCTTTTCAGTTCAAGTAATTTATGAGGTTATCTCCTTGTAGACTGCCATAGCTTAAGCCAAAATCCATCTTCCCTTTAAACAGTCACATAAAATTCTAATTGTAACTGTACAGCCATAAAGAGGAGTTGTGCAGGGGAAGGGGATAAATATATGATCTAAAATGTCTTGTGTATATTGGAAATAAGCTCTATTATGCACATTAGAAATAAGCTCAGTTTAGCACAAGGTACCAAATATCCTCCCAAGGACTGGCTCACACTCACTGATGCTATTTGGGGATTGCAGTTTTCATGGTGATTTCTAGGTAGAAGTTATGCAGATATTACAGCTCTGCAGTGTCACCAAACAGCTCATAGTCCTTTTTCTCCAAGAGGAGAATCTGCCTCAGAATTACCCCATTCCTGATGTCACACCAGTTTCTAGATACTCCGTGTTTGTGTTTCCAAACCCAGCCAAGTGTTGTTTGGCTGCTCCCAGCCTTTGGCTCCTGCAGGCACAGGCTTTGATCCACTCAGCTCTCCCAGCAAATGAGGTCAGTTCAGGACAGTGACTGGCAGGCTGTGAAACACCAAGTGTGCAGGCTGGGAAAGTCCATCCTGGTTCCAAGCAGAGAAAACTCCTTTGGTAAAGCTGAAGCCGGTGCCTGAAGCAGGAGGTTACAACCTGTGGAGTGTAGGAAGAGCCAAGTAGGATCACACAATTGAGAGCTGAGGCAAAGCCTTTCTTCTCTCCTCTGTAGGGTGGAAAGACAAACAGGCACCTGCCTTGCAGGGGAGCTGGGAATATCCCATGTGTTCCCAGCCTTGGTGGCTGCACTGAAGGTATCCCAGATCCACTCATGCAGGGATTCACCTTGTGTGTCTGCACCATCCTGTTATCCTTGGACCTCTGTACATATCCAATGTGTAATTCCACGTCCCTTTCGCTCCCATTATGATTTGCCATTTTTCTTCTGTGGAGAAGTCAGCTTGTTACTTTAGTGTTCCCACTAAAGCATAGCCCCATTGTAATACTTAGGGATAACAATTCATTATTTTCCATTCATTACAAGGAAGAGGCTGGGCTGCCATCCCTGTCCCATGAACTCCCATTCATCCGTGTCCCAGCTCACAGGGTTTAACATGTACACACTGTCACTATGCACAAACCCATGAAAAATAAACAAAACCCTTTCTTTTCCCAGTGGGATCATCTCACAGAGAAAGGACCAAACTGAAGAACTGGAAAAAGAAAGCAGTGGCAGCAGCACTGGCACCAGCAAGGGCAGTGAGGAGAAGACAATCATCAAACGGCTGTAAGTTTGTCTGCAGCTTTTTGGGCAGAATTTGGAAGAACACAGCACCCTCAACCACAGCAACTCCAGGGATGGATGCTGAACTCTAGCCCAGTTGGCTGGATATTGTTTTCTCTTGCTCCCCCTGTAAAGTTAAAAACCTGATAAGGAAATCTTTTCCTGTGGAAAAAGCACTCCACAGGAAGGCAACCTCCACCCAGGCAAGCAGGGAGTCACTTTTTTTTAGGAAAAACAAGTATTTCAGAGCAAAGCAATGCAGTATTTGCCTCCCCTGCCAGCACCTCAGGCCTTTGCTGTGGGAACACACTGGCCCTGGAGGTTTGTTTTCATTGTACACAGTACTCACAAGCTCAGGCCGTGTCCCTAAAGTTCCCCAAAATAGCAGAGCACATTGACACAGCCACCTCACAGCATTTCCAACTGCTTTTCCGGTTGTACATTATTGTTTCCTTTCTGTTGTTGATTTTTTTAGGTTTTCTTTTAAACATGGAAAATGAGCATCCTTAAGGACTCCTGCTGAGCACGGCACTGATGAGGGAGGAGACAAGGGCTGGGAGAAGCAGCATCACTCCTGCTGCAGAGAACGAGCAACCTCATCAAAATTGTGTTGTATAATATTCTTTCAGAATAGTTTTTACTCTGCTTTGTCAGAAACTGTTTAAAACAGACACTTTTTGTATTTCTTAGATTCCTGTCAGATATTACCCACATGTAGAAAATAAACCTTTATACACAGGTGGGGTTTATTCTTATTAAAGGAGCCTGTGATGATCGGTACAACATATTTACCCTGTCCAGCTATCAAAGCACTCAGCCCAAGTAATTTTGCAAGATGGAGATGATATTTAAGAGATACATGGCATTCCCAAGTGGCTGTTTGGGGTTGAGATGAATGATAGTGGAGAAGAGCACAGCAAGGGAAGGAAAGCTGCTGCCTCGTGCTCTGCCCACATGAAGGACTGAGGTGCAGAAATGCTCAGACTGGAACAGATGCACCAAACACCTCATCTCTGACAGCTGAAGGGCTCCTGGGGAAGGCAGCTGTGTTTTGCATAAGCTCTCTTCTTCCCATCAACTGCCACAAGCTGTGTGTTGGCCCCAGTAATGAGATTTATCACCAGTGGAAGGATATAGGACAAACAGAGGAGTGGGAAAAGAAGCCTGAAAGACACCAGTTAGGTTCCCCTTTTAGAAAGGTAGAATATCCAGAGCAGAAAAGCCTGAATAGACATAAAAGGAGCAGTGACAGGTATCAAACTCTGATCTTACTCTCTTCAGAAGTGAAAGCAGGCTCTGAAGTCTTTTGATTCCCTCTCACACACTGGCAGCATGAGAAATATAGGACACTTCACACAACTGCTGGGATGCAGTTTGAGTGTGGCTCAGCAGAAGGCAGAGCTGCAGCCTCCCTTCAGAGTTCCTTGGCAACTGTGCACGAGAAGGCACCACCACAGAGGTCTGACCTCAGCCAGCTGGTATAGGCAGGGTATGAACTGCTGAAGTCATTTTGCCATCTTCAAAATATCAATTTTAGCCATGCCCTCATGATGTATTTTGTAAAGCAGGGCAGCAGGGAAGGAAGTTACTGCATTGCCTGAGCAGAGGCTTTGTGCTTGAAAATCAATCAATAAATAAATAAATAATCACGAATTAACAACAGTCAGGATACAACTCTGAGGTGAAAAGAGATGTGCTCTGAACTCCATCCTCCTGTGGTTTATCCAGGAATGTATTTTCCAATCTCCTTTAAAAAGGGAAGTTTAGCTCCCAAACCAAGGACATCTTGTAAGCACCGAGAAGTGCTTTACACCATATTAGAAGATGAAATCTTCCTAACAGGGACAGAGATAAACATCCAAATGGCAGTTTCTGTGAGAAATATATTGATACCTCAGTTCCTAGGAAAGTCAAGGATACATATGCAGTGCAACATCAGCTTTATTTCCATCTGACCCAGTGCTACTCCATTATCAGTTAAGCCTTTTCAGAGAAGACAACTTTGTTTTTATGTAAAACAGGGAGATCTTTCCCTTTTTTGTTTACAGAAGTGATGCTGAAGAACAGAGGTTTTAAGCTATTCAACCTGATAAAGGACAAGTAAACGTTTAAATAAAATAAAACAAAAAGAATCATTTTACTCTAATCTTGACTTAAGGGAAGTGCTCTAGTTTAAGGGGATACTGTACACACTGCTGAGGTCTCTGCTACTGAGACCCGAGAAAAATCAGTGCCAACTCAGCTAAGTTGACCTTATCTTACCTGAAACTCAGTACATGGAAGGTAACAGGTCTCCAGTTACTCCTTCAGAAACGTGAACATACCCAGGCTGGCTCTGCCGAGTTTGCCTTGTGTTAAGCAGTAAATATCAAGCATTTAATAGCTAATGATTTTCACAGCTTTCTTTCCAATGCTCATGAACTGCAATGGAGACAGGTAGTATAGCAGCCACTTCATCAATAATAAATATATTCTTTATTTTACAGAGACATTGTCTTCAAGTTTTAATTTAAAAAATACATCACTAAGCCACCTCTCTTGCTGCTGGAGCACACAACCAGGATGTTGTTGCTATCTGACCTATCACATAGGCAAGCATAAGATTGTCCTAGAGGGCATTCAGCTGGAACAGCAGCAGCCTTCAAGACATGAGGAATAGAAGACATTAACAGAGCCACAGATTCCTTGCTGACATCTTCCAGCAGCAAGTGTGGCTGATGGCTCACAGCCATTTTCATCTACACACATGCCAAGCCTGCCTTGGCAAAAATTCCAACTGGTAAGAATTCATCTTTAACATAAAGGACCTGCATTGTATTGCCTGCCTATATCCCAGATTTGGTTCTCCAACAGTAACATTCCAAACATCCATGAGATGCCAAGCGCTTGACTCCCACATAACACAGTGAGACCAGACCATGCTGGACAGACCTACAGGACCAGGCAATAAGGAATCTACTTTCTTCACTGCATGAACTTCATTGTTACACTTTGAAGCTGCACATGAAGAGGACTCCTATTTTTGGAACCGCTATGCTCTACTTCAAGCATTCACAGTAAATAAATAGCTTCTGATGTGGCTAATTAGCATAGGAAGGTAATACAAAAATTTTTGGAGAGAGCTTTTTACTTCTTTAAAATCCTCTGGGAGACACCTCCAACAATCAGCCATCAATATAAAAAGGTACCTTCTTAAATTTTAGAAAATAAGTAATGTCAAACATTGATTCTCACTGTGAAGTTCTATCTTCACATTTGTACTCAGTATCCACTCAGACTATCAAAATCCATCCTTGTTTGGCTGGGAGTCATTTCTCCAAAGAAAGCAGCCAATCTGACCATCCTTTTTTCCTCAGTGCCAGTGCATTTAAAGTTCATTGCCAACAGATTATACGACACTGGAAAAACTGGATTCCTACCACAAATTATTGGAGAATGATAGTAGCATCCATGCCAGAGAAGCCTGTCAGCACTGGGCTGGGAACAGCAGTGTGACAGGCAGTCAAGCCACTGCATGAACAGAGTACAGAAGTACTTCTGCTGTCAAAGTTAACGCAGAGTTCATCACCCCAAAGTGGAGCGTGAGATTTTCTTGCAAAAGCAGAAGCACAACCCCAGTGACAAAGTTTCTGTGCAAGTCTTTGACTGCTCAAGTGGCACTGGTCACTGTGCAGAAGCTTTCAGATTTTAGGGAGGGTTTCCTTTTATGATACAAAAGTTTTGGCAATCTAAGATCAATTATTGAAGCCTGCCTGGAAAACTGTAATAGGTGTTTAAATACTGCAAAGCAAAAAGGTAGTTTGTAGGGAGCTCGGAAGACCATAAGCAGTCCACTAAGAAAGCTGAGGGACATGAGGGCAGGAGAAGTAAATCCAGACTCCTTGTAGAACACTCAGTCCAGGAAAAAAAAAAACAAAACAAAGAAGATGAATTAGTGTTTCAGCCATGGATGAGCTTCAATGGAAGCTTTGCTCCTGTCTCCATAGTCGTACAAGAGTTCTTCACCTGCTTTAATGTCCCTGGAAGCAATGAGGATGAGATGAGGAACACCATCGATGTCATGGAGCTTGGTCTGACAGTTGCCACATTTGCTGTGATTAATGAGCCTTCCCAGACGATTTGTTTCCTTTGTAGCATCGACACTGAAAGAACAAGAACAGTTTTTGTGCACCAAAACCCAAGTGCAAACAGGATAAAGAATGGGGAATCCACACAGGGCTTGGAAAATGAAGGAGAAACAGAACATTACAGACCAACCACGATTAAACAGACAGCAATAAATATGGCAATGCAGGGAAACTAAAACCATCTGGGAGATTTTTAATTTAGCACAAAACTGAAAACTCTGGACTGTTTGAGCTCCTCTTTTCAGGAATAGCTGAATCCAGATGTAAGACACCACCAGAGAGGCTGGATACCTTAAATATCCTCCCCTCAAGAAAGCCGTGTCCAAGCTAAGTATATTTACTGAGAAAACCAGCAAAAGTAAATCAGCAAAAGCAAAAGGCTGAGAATGTCTAAATACTACATGCCCAAATTCCAGAGACCTGGATACTCCAGCTCTAGTGCCCCTCACTGCACAAAGAAGTGTTATGGCAGCTATCAAGGCACTTAGAATATAGGGCACTTCAAGGTAATTAATAGGTCACACATGTGGTTAAGTGACCTACGCTCCAGTATCCAGTAGGATCAGCCAAGGAGGAAAGAAGGTAGTCAGAGTAGTTACTTTTAGAGACCTGGAGTTTGGGGCAAATGAAACAGCAAATACATAAAGCATGAACCTGGGGTGGGTGTCAGATGCTGGGAAAACAAGGACACCCACTCAAAGACACTTGAAGGAAATGCTTCTCTTCCAGAGAGTTTGTCCATCCTGCTTTTCAAACCAAATCCTTGCAACTCAGAAAAAGGAGTTAGTTTTAGAAGAGAATAAGCAGGGCTAGAAATCTCATCCAAGCAGATGCAACTCTCCATACAGCTTGTGCTGCACTTCAGAGAAAACTGCTCTGAGTCACCCACCAGCCCAGACTTGGAGGGGGCTCTTGGACCATGGATCAGTGCTCCCAAAGATTTCATAATTCACGGTTCTCATTAAAAACACAAAACTTGCACGAAAACAAGAAAAGGTTTAGCGGCATCCAAAGCCTCTGTGAGCCAACACTTGAGGGAAGAGGAGCTTACCAGTAGGTTTTGCTGAGGTACTGGAAATAGTACATGTAGCAGCCCGTGGATGGATCCTGAGCATACACAGCCTCCCGTTTCTTGGCATCAGTGATCTCTATGAGATCCCCGTGATACTCCACCACAAACTCTCCTCGATTAAAATGTTTAGTAGCAATGACTCCTCTCCCCTTGCCATCGATGTAATCAATCTGGAGAGTTGAAAAGAAAATCAGCTGGGAAATTAGAAAGTATTTACATGATTGCAAATATGCTGATTACGAGGAAATGAGTGATTTGTCATTACAAAATGCTGTCAAAGGGAATTTGTGTCAACTGCAGACAAAACTGTAGAAGCTGCCTGGCATTGTGGAAGAAACACAGGACAAGTTTGGGATACATCCAGGTTACCAGGTAGTTTGACACAAAGGCTTCTAGTTAGAGAAATAAGAATTACTTTAAGTAAACCCTAACTCTTCTCTTTGTATCTGTTTTTCCTTTTAAACTCCCTATGAGCTGGGGCAGTGAGCTTTTCCATTTCATGTGAACGTTAGCATATACAGGTTAGAAAGTTAAAGGAACAATAAGATTGATTACA